ACACACACACACACACACACACACACACACACACACACACACACACACACACACACACACAAACACAAAACTAGTGTAGATTTATAGGGGTCTAGGTAGTAAGAATAGCAGTGTTCGTCGATTCAGCTATATAATCTCTTTGATAATCTATAGCGTTTTTCGTCCTAATTAAACAGTCTATCAGAGTCTGTTGGATTGAGGATCCACCCCGGAAAGTCAAAAGTCCTTTCTGAGGATAGATGTACTGCGAAAGGAGCAGGTCACAGTAGAGGGAAATGCACTAGGAGACGTCGAATCCTTCTGCTATCCTGGGAGTATAATTGACAGAGAGGTAGGAACAGGCAATGAAATAAAAGTTCAGCATTGGAAAGGCACAGACTTCATTTACATTTCTTTGAACAGAATTTGGAGGACCAGGGGTATCTCACAACGGACAAAGTTGAGAATTTTTAACTCAAATGTGAAGTCAGTCTTGTTGTATGGAAGTAAGACGTGGAACGCATCTCAGACGTGCGGAAAGAGGATCCAGGTTTTCTTGAACAAGTGTCTGAGGAAGCTACTGAGCATCAGATGGACAGAACGAGGAAGTATTAAGAAGTATTAAGAACAAGACAGAGCCCAGTCAGAGAGGAGCTAAGAAGGTGTTGGCGATTATTGGACACACTTTCGGGAAGTCCAGCAGCTGCATAACAAAGAAAGAGTTAGATTGGAACCCACAGGGTAAAAATCAAGTGGAAGACCATGTGGAACTATTACTGTAAACCCTCTATGGTGGAACCTGGAGAAGGGTCACGGAAATGGATGTACAGAAAAGTGGGAAGACAAGGAGTGACATAAAGCGACTAGCCTAGGATAGGGAAAGGTGGAAAGTGTTTGTTCGTGGCCAATATCCTGATCCAGGGTGAAAAAGGCAATGATGATGATGATTTCCACTTGCAGATGGGCACAGCTTGTGGGCATCTCTCTTGGGGGCCTTCTTACCCTCATCGGCATGGCCGGCGTGCCCCCCGTTTACTTTAAGGAGGGTACACCTGAAGGCTATCTCGCTTATTACAGAACCGGATTTTACCAAATTTCACACATATAACAAGCATAGTAAGAGGTCTTAAAATCGGCATCAAATTTGAGAAAAATTTTTGTTTCCATGGATACAGCGACCATATTGGATTTTGTTGACATGCTTACGTAATGAATACCGCATTTATTGCTTTTGAAAATTGATTGTTTTTTTTGGGGGGTTTTTTTGCATGCGTGTTAACAAATATTAGATCTAAAGATTTGTCTATTGTTTTTACGTAAACGAAGTAGAACATTTTTAATGAATTTTTTCCAGAGGTAGCATTCAAGTTTGCAAAAAATC